ATTTAGTGCCTTAACCGTGCTGACTAAGCAGGCACTAAGCCTATCTAGGTTAAACTACTACCTCTTGCCTTTAAAATGAGCTAGCCTAATTGGAAATAGATTTAATATTCAGCTAGTTATACTAGTTTAAAAACTAGAACTTTTAGGAACACTCTTTTTTCATGTCACCCCTCTGTATGTAGATCCACATATATACCTGAAGAATCCCGTCCTCCCCTCCAAACAAGAATCGTTCCAGTTCCTTGCTCTTTTCATCTGGGAAGACAAGAGAGAAGACGAGAACGTACACAAAGAAACCCCCTCTCCACCAACCCAAATCCCCTTCATCTTATTAACAACGGGAAACATAGCGGGGTTCTATGGTCACATCGAAGCCCGGGCCAATTCGCAATACATAAGCCCCCACCGGGGTTTCTTCCATTGCCTTTGATTCGTTTGCCTTGGGCAGCGACAGAACCCTTTTTTCACAAAGGAGAGATTGATAAATTCACTTAACAGTTCTCCACCAGGCTGGATATCAGTAGATCTCCCAATCTCTCTTTTCCTGGACTTCTATGTCACTTGGTTGGTATTTAACATTATCTAGTGTAGTATGAAGCCTCAGTAACTAATGCGGTTGAAATGTGCACTGGTTTGCAGTAGTTGAACTAGAAATCCATCGGCATCGCTGTGGGATACGGGATAGCGGGGAAATGCCGATTGACCTTTGCCTCGTCATCTCCGCTAATTGAGAAGCCCATGGATGTACCGCCCAAGTAGCGTACTGCATATGCTGCCCCCTTCTAATCTCAAAATATGATATTTCACCGCATATCATGTGGTTGCGAAGACACATCTCGTGAATGTTTTGAAGCTACGTGGGGCAATGGCGGCACTGCGTAACGTAGCACCTGCTTCATCGAGGAAAGCCCCGCATTATCTACATAGGGCGCACGGCTAGTATAGGTATACTTTAGATCCACTTCGAACATCAACCTCTCTGATAAACTTCCCTTCCAATATTCCCTGCCTTTTTTTTCTGTACTGCTAGTCTTTTCACAATGACCTTCGACATCACCAAAGCGCGGTCGCGCTTCCCAGCTCTTCAACAAGACCAAGTTTTTCTTGATAATGCGGGGGGCAGTCAGGCGCTGGGCGAAGTGATTGATTCGTGAGTATATCGCATATCTAGAAGCAACACGTTAGCTGAGTCATGGGAAGCATATCACAGTATCTCAGCAAGACGAATGTACAGCTTGGTGCTTCATACCACACTGGCACACAGTCCAACACGAAGTACGAGGAAGGTTACCAGGCTGCTGCAAAATACATCAATGCCGGCCGCGATGAAATAGGTAATATTCTTGATGTCTCGTGTGCATTCATTCTCTAATTATCAAAAGTCCTCGGCTCATCTACCACTCAATTGTTCGTCAATCTTGGCTCTACGCTACAGTTCCCCGCGGGATCGGAAATCATTCTATCAAAGATGGAGCATGAGACCAACGTAAAGGCGTGGCTTCTCATGGCTGACCGTCTTGGGCTTACTGTGAAGTGGTGGGCGTCTAGCAAGGAAGATGGACTCAAACTCACAGCAGAGAACTTGAAGCCACTCCTGAGCGACAAGGTGAAGTTTGTTGCCTGCACGCATGTAAGCAACATTTTGGGTACGATACATGATGTCAAGTCGATTGCAGATGCGGTACATGAAGTCGGTGCTTTGTTCTGCGTGGATGGCGTAAGTTATGCGCCGCACCGTGCGGTTGACGTGAAGGCTTTTGGGGTAGACTTTTATGCGTTTAGCTGGTACAAGGTATGTCATGGTCATCAGTCCTTCTTCAACTTTTTGCCTCACCGGCATGTGCTGATGAGAGACTCAGGTCTACGGCCCTCACATTGCCGTACTTTACGCCAGCGAACCGGGACAAAAGGTCATGAAGCCTATGGCACACTACTTCAATCCCACCAAGACGCTTGAGGATAAGATTGGGTTTGCTGGGTCAAACTACGAATGTGTTCAATCCATTCCACAAATCACTTCATACCTCTCCGGGGCCTTCCCTGCCATTGCAGAACACGAGGGAAAACTGCAAACTATCCTCCTCGACTTCCTCAATTCACGCCCTGATATCACGGTTCTGGGCTCAACGTCAACGGACAGTAAAGTCAGGGTTCCGACTATTTCGTTCGTAGTCAAAGGCATGAACAGTAAGCAAGTTGTGGCTGAAGCCGAAAAGATCAGCAACTACGGCTTTCGATGGGGCCACTTTTACTCGAAGAGATTGTGCGATGAAGTCCTTGAGATAGACCCTGAGGGTTATGTTACGAGAGTCAGTATGGTACATTACAATACTGAGGAAGAGATCAAAGGGCTAGTCGAGGTTTTGAAGAAGGTTCTTCCAAAGGTTTGAGGGTGCTGTGGACCATGAATGTTACGCGTGTACGTCACTCCGGTACAAGCGCAACTAAACATTCGGCCGATGTTGTCCTGGGATTCCAAGTCGTGTTTCGTTTCAGCTGCGCTAAGGTGATTTGCCGGGCTTCTAGACGAGTCTAGTTGATAGTATTATAGCGAGATAACGCCGCGACTTTAAGCCTCTACTGCAATTGCCGTCCGAGCCGTTTCCAGGGGTCTGATAGAGAATCGCAACAACATGATGGAGTTGGATAATAATGAGCACTAAAGGTTGCACTTGTTGCTTCATGCCTTTTTTTCTCTTTGGAGTTCGAGTCCGGATAAGTCCTCGTACCAATTGCCCTAATAAGCCCAAATGTCTTGATGCTGACTAGAGAGATATAGTTAGAACAGAAAACGGTCCCAATGATTGCTGTATTCTGAAACAGCTGACAGTTCTTAGCGTGAGAATAGACATATGCTTAAGTGTGTTAGTAATAAGCTTCGACGTCAGACAGGATGCCACCCGAACACTGACAAGTCAGTCTGCTATCTCTTATACACACGCATGCATCCTGCTAGGGCCTGGCCATGTGGGCGTGTTGCGCCTGTACCTGATTAAGCTTTCCTTATACTTGGCATCAACTGCTTCATTGCATGACGGCCATGCAGTCGTTCGCAAAACACCTTGCGCACGTTCATGAGATGAACCAATACCGCATAAACTCAATGAAACTGAAACAGAGTATCCTAACGAGGAAGAAAAAAGGCGCAAGTGAATTCTCGCGATAAGCCATAATCATCTATTTTCTCTTGCGCACAGCGTGAGCTCACGAGAGTGTATCCGAAGCTAGCAAGATGACATGAAACATTGAAATTGTGAAGTCAGAACAAGGGGACCGCACGGGAAGGAGAGATGCTCGTGAACACAATGAAGGCCAAGGCCATGATTGGCGGTAGACGTCCGAGCGGACAAGCTTATTCATTGCTCTCGACTCCTTGTTTCAACCCCGCATGACAAGGCGGCGGCGGCGGCGAGCGACGGTCCACGGATCTTTGCTAGCAGCAAATCTATCTGATCTGCATAGCGCCCCCCCTCCCTCATTCCACGGAATGATGAATGACGATGCGGGTCTAACTACCATAGCCGGCGGTAATGAAAGGCAAACAGTAAAGGGCCCCCCGTTAATCATTGCTTATTCCGCCGCTACGGAAGAATTCAGGGCCGCACCGCACCAATACCGAGCGTGCGCAGACTCGTGCGTTGAACCCCATACGTGGAGACAAGCGTAGCGTCCCGTGCTTTTTTAATATTTTGATTTCGGGAGTTTAGGATCTGGGTGGCAGTGCGTGCGGTGCGGCACCGATTACATAGTGCCGTACTTAGCACTAAATATGCTCTCATGTGGAGAAATTTGGAACAAGGAACGGGGGGGTTTACTTTGTTACTTTTAGATAAAGTTGGCGCCAGGTCCGGTTTGCTGGTGCTTTTTTTCGACCAGACGAGTGAATCGCTTTTCTCCGTTTTAGACATCATGCGCGTTTCTACTGTTTCTTCATTGTCGTTGCTCTTGGCGGGCTTGTCCGTTGCAGGACCCGTATCGGACAAGCGTGCGCTGTCGAGCCGCGCCACGACGTTTAACAACCCTGTTATATACCAAGACTATCCTGATCTTGACGTTTTCAGGATCGGAGATGTGTTCTATTACTCTTCATCGACCTTTGCGTTTAGTCCAGGAGCTCCCGTAGGCATTGAGTTCTAGAAGGTTTTGAATCATGTCGTTAACATTATATAGGTGCTCAAGTCGTACGACCTGGTGAACTGGACGCCCGTCACTCACAGTGTACCAAGACTGAACTTCGGCTCTCCATATGACCTGCCAAACCCGACTACCCGGTCTTATGTCAAGGGTATCTGGGCGAGTTCGTTGCGGTACCGTAAGTCGAGCGACAAGTTCATTTGGATGGGCTGTGTTCAATCGACGGGCCAGACATATATCTGGACAGCCCCCGGTCAAAACGCCGCTGCCAACAACGGCGAGGTATCGAGCTGGAACTGGACTGCTGCGGGTAGCATTAACAAATGCTACTACGACAACGGCATCTTCATCGATGACGACGACACCATGTATGTCGTGCACGGCAACCCTGCCGTTCGAGTTGCCCAACTCAACAAAGACGGCACAGCCGAAGTGAAGAACCAAGAGGTATACCGCGATCCTAACGGCCTCACTCTCGAGGGATCCCGCATGTACAAGATCAACGGCACCTACTACATCTTCTCGACCAAGCCCGCCGACGACGAATGGGTCCTGAAATCCAAGAGCCCCTGGGGTCCCTTCGAAGCCCGCATCCTCGTCGACAGCATCTCCGGCCCCCTCTCCAACGCCGGCCACGCCCACCAAGGCGGTGTCGTCGACACCAAAGACGGAAAATGGTACTACGTCGCCTTCCTCGACTCGTACCCCGCGGGCCGCATCCCCGTCGTCGCACCTCTCACCTTTGACAACAACGGCTGGCCTTCAGTCGTCAAGGTGAACAACGCCTGGGGTGCCTCCTACCCAACCCCCGTAACCACCAGCAAGACCGTCCCCGCACTCACTGGCATCGACAAATTCACCGGCACCTCACTCAGCGCAGAATGGGAATGGAACCATAACCCCGACACCTCCAAGTTCAGCCTCCTCGGCGGCGCAGGCGGTCTCAAACTCTCCACCGCAACCGTAACCAACGACCTCTACGGCGCCCGCAACACCCTCACCCACCGCATCATCGGCCCCAAGTCCTCCGGTACCTTCCGCCTCGACATCAGTCAAATGGCCTCCGGCGACCGCGCAGGCGCCGTCCTCTTCCGCGACACAGCCGCCTACATCGGCATCCACAAATCCGGCTCTACCGCCTCCCTCGTCATGGTCAACGGCCTCGAACTCAACGCCGACCGCACCACCAAATCCACCGGCACGGTGGTCGCTACAGGCCCGGCCATTCCCGCGGGCTCGACGGATTTGTACCTCAGGATCCAGGCGGATATCACACCCGCATTTGGAACAAACACCCTGCGCCAGGCGACGTTTTGGTACAGCACTGATGGCACATCGTACAAGCAGCTGGGACCGTCGTTTGGGCTCGCGAATACCTGGCAGTTTTTCACCGGGTTCAGGTATGGTGTTTTCAACTTTGCGACCAGTGCGGTGGGTGGCAGTGTTACGGTGAAGAGTTTTGAGATGCAGAAGATTTAAAGGTCTTTGAAGTTTAGTTTTTTTTTTTCTGTATATACCTTTTTTTCCTGGAGAAGAGAAGGGGGCGGAGGGGAAGGTAGAGGTGAGGTCTGAGATTTTTGTATATATATTATTATTATATATTATATTCGGTGATACTTATAGTTTGGGATGTTGACGTGCTGTGTGAGATATAGTTCATGGCGCCATAGTACACGTAGATTGCTGACGCTGGATTAATCTAGACGTTTGCTTAAATCTAGCCATCGATTTAAGTTGTATGCAACAGGTCATACTATGTTTAGCGCCTTCATTGGATGTTCCTTTTCGATTCCTCTCTGGGCTGTTTGCGCTAAGACGGTTTTTGCTCGTCTTTATCACGATATGTGATGCGATTTCAGCTGATGCAAGATTGCCTTGAAATCTATCTAACATGTCAAATTTGTGATTTCTAAGATAACAGAAGGCTACTTGTACATGGCTGAAATTGTAAAGATAATCCATCTGTACTACAAGCTCATTTACAGTAACAAACATCTTCCCAGTTGGTACTAGGATCAAGATTAAGCCTTTTCGGTGCGCTAGCCCTAGCTGTTATCGCCAGGCTGGAGGAGCTCAGCTAGAAGTTCTTGCTAGTGCCACCTCTGTCGGGCTGATATATCCGCCTTGAGACACTTTTACTCTAGCCTTGACCCTAAAATGAGACATTCTGATATCAAAAATCCTAGAAAAAAAGCTAAATATAAAGAGTAATGTATGGAACTTATTCGATTACTTTTCAGTATAAGGAAGTACCTGAATAAGGAAAAAAGAGATCAAGTAGTAACTACGGCAGAACTACGGCAGTATTACAGGCACCTCTGTTAGCACGAACTCCTAGCCGAGTTCCTCCGACCTGGCGATACCTTTGGAAAGCGACTTCCGTACGCACATCGACATCTGTTTCCATCAACTACCATCACCGATAATTCCCAAAATCTTGCAATCTCCAACTCACGTCATGGGCACCCACCCTTCTATAAACAAGCCCGAAAGTGAGTAGTTCCAGGACGGTCCTACATCGTTCATTGGCTAACACGGCATCCCAGGCAGCAGCGTGAAGTCGCTTTGTGATCTGCCAAATGAAATGTTGTTACAAATCTTCTCTTGTATAGATCTGCATCGCGAGACACGTATCCTGGGCTACATACCCGATAAACCCCTGTCTTCTTGCCCCGATTATGAAGTGCTTAAAGACTATCGCCTCCACAACTCCTGGCTGCTAAACATTGCGTTGACGTGCAAGCGATTTGCAGCTTTAGTTCCAGAGGTAGCATTACGTATGACCGTACTGCAAGCTTTTACAGAATATGTGCAGCCTGAGCGCCCTCAGCTTTGTTGGTCAGCTCCATTCGCTCTCCTTCTTCGATGCAAGGACAGACCGGATCTCATTCGACACATCAAACAACTTCGCATCCATTTCTCATATACCGATGAGCACAACAGATATCGTTGCGACAATAAAGGGATGGCTAAAATGCTGGCTTCGTTGCCTGTACCTTCTGCGTGGAAGTTCAAACTTTTCAAAGACATCACAAATAGCTTTGGGCGAGGACCATTTAATGCCTTATTGTCAGTAGCAGAGTTGGATGTATTGTGTGTCTCCGATCCAGCCGACGAACCAAAACTCGAATGGGCAGAACAGCTAGCAGTCTCACACTTCACTCCCCCGATTATCCGCTCGCTGAGGTACCTTAAGATGGAAACTATACGACCTCCCGCCATTCAAGCAGTGGAAGTCTTTCAAAGACTAGATACTGTTGATTTGAGTATGTCACTTGGCGTCCGGTTATCACTGGATATTATATCCGCCTCGGAAAAGTTTCTTGCAAACACGGCGGTAAACAGCATCAAGCATCTGCGTCTGAATTTCGAACTCCGAACAATCGGAATGTGGAACAGTGAGAGGCGAACCTGCATGGTGAACGTGGTGAAAGGCTTCCAGACTCTGGAGAGTCTTGTATACTATGCCGAATCGTCGATAACCAAGAATCCCTATCGTAGTCTTCGCAGTTTCCCCGACTACCAAGTCAACATCCAGATATATCCAGAGGTTCTGGCGGCTCCTGACTTGTTGGAAGGTTACTGGGGTACGTAAACTTCTCTATGTATCTCCCTCTCCTGAATTAATCAATACTGCTAACCACTACCCCAAAAGACCAATCGATATATGAGGCACGCACAAATATCACCGATTACCAATACCTAATGGACAACCTCGTGCACCTACGCCCATCTCTGAAACACTTGCAGCTTCCGGGAGGCTTTTGGACGCTACCTGGCGCAGCTCGCAAGCCGATCCCGCGCTTCGATCAGTTCACCCAGCTCCGAAAACTGACTGTGCCTCAAGCGGCCCTCATCTCCATCAAACTGGATAACATGCGGGTTGATACCGTCACCCCAGGCGACTTTGAACTTTCTGCTCTGCAAGTATTACCAGTGTCGCTGCAGCATCTCACGATCTTCGATCTCGACGAGACGTTCTTGGGAAGCAAATGGCTGCAGGGATTGTTCGACGAGCAGAAGAACCATGCCCGATGGCCCGAATTCCGAACCTTGGAGCTGTTGATGGGGGCGACGTTCTTAGATGAAGCGCTGGAAGCGCTTCTGGCGAGGCAAAGCAGTGCGGAATTCTGGGCGATGGTTGATGAAGCTGGGTTCGATGTCGTTGTTGGGAGGGACGACTTGGATCCTTCGTTGCTTCCAGAGTCACATTAAGGGGAGGGGGTATGTACATATTTAATAGAAAGTAATTTCTATTTCTAGCATATTTGAAAGGTATATAAATGATGATAATTCAGGATGTTCTTTCACTGGCTAGGATGCCCTGGCATCGAGTAACAAAAATCTGTAATTGAGCTTTCTTTTCCCTCACACCACTGGATTGGGAAAAAAAATCACATTCTCATAATGACTTGAAGATGCAAGAGTCGCAGATGATTCAGTGAATTCATATATACACACATATCGACATCTATAGAGGAAAAAAAACAACACAGTCATATGGGAACTCGGAGTTATGCCAGCAGAAAAAAACGCCGCGCTCATTATAATCATCAATTCTCATAAGGTATCGTCTAATAAAGTCTCAGAAACAAGAGCCGGGAAACAGAATCTCAAAACAAACAAAAAGCTTTACAAAAAACAAAGCCTCTATTCTATTGTTCCCAATCACTTTTTTTTTCAAGCCTTGGTCTCAAAAGTGCGGGCCTCAAGGTCCTTCTCAATGGAGAGGGAGTCGGAGTCAGGAGCAACCTGCTCGGTACCGACGTGCGACTCGGTGTAAGCATCGAGCTCCTTGCCCTTTGCAATGTTAAGGTACAGAGGGTAGGACCAAGCGATGGCGAAGAAGCCAAGCGGGACGCACATGGCCTTTCGGGTACCAATAAGATCAGCCACGTTACCCAGGACAACGGGGCCGACGGCGCCGCCGCAGACGGAGGAGACGAGGAAGGAGGCGCCGCGCTTGGTGTGGCGACCGAGACCGCGGAGGGTGAGGGCGAAGATGATGGGGAAGATGCAGGATTCGAAGAAGAGGACGAGGTTGAGCATGCTGATACCGCCCCAGTTTGTGGTGGTGGCGCTGCCGGTGTTTGTGCCGATGGCGGCGGAGATGAAGATCATGATGAAGGTTTGGAAGGCGAGGAGCACGTAGCGGGGCTTGCCGCCAAAGTACATGATTCCTGCGGCGGCGAAGCGACCGATGGCGAAGAGAGATTGGGCGATGGCGTAGAAGTTGGCGCCCTTGTGGTGGCTCTCTGTGGTGCTCAGTTGGGGGGAGGCCTCGGCGAAGTAGTTGATGTAGTAGGCGGCGCATCCGACTTGGCCGGCGACGTAGGAGAACTGGGCAAAGGTTCCCCAGAAGAGAGTATACTGCTTGCTGAGCGGCTTGTCGACGTAGCCGTTGCTGGCAGTGGTCTCTTCCTGCTCGGCCATGTCGCTGTCGGTGACTTCGGGGATGTACTTTCCAGCGAAGAAGAAGACGAGGGCGAGGATGGCAACGAAGGCGGCGATGGCGAGGTAGACGTATTGGACGGCCTCAAGTGACTTTCCATCCTCTCCGACGTGCTTGAAGATGACCTGGGCAGCGAGGACGGGCGCAACGACGGAGCCAACAGCCTGGACGGACTGAGACAGCTCGAGACGGAACTCGGACCACTTGGGGGGACCGCAGACAGCAATGTATGGGTTGGCGCTGACTTCAAGAGTCGACAGACCAGACCCGGCAATGAACATGGCACCGCAGAAACCACCAAAGGATCGCTTTACGGCTGCAGGCCAGAACATGAGCGCACCGACGCAGTAGATGCTGAGACCGAGGATGAAGGTCCATCGGTACCCGAACTTGCGAAGGAACCAACCAGAGTAGGTCAGAGGACCGATGAAGTAGGCGCCAAAGTATGCGGCTTGGAGTCCCGAAGACTCGCCCTGGGAGATGTTGAGAGCGACTTGGAAGCGGGAGTTCAAGACATCGAGGAGTCCGTATGCGAAACTGGCAAAAAAAAAATGTCAGTTCATGTTTGGAATAAGAGAGACCTGTAGATATTTGCTTACCCCCAGCAGAAGAAGAGCGAAGTGACCAAGGTGACAGGAAGAATGGATTGACGAGCAGTGAGGGCCGATGCTCCAGTGAGAGCACGGTTGTCAACCGATGCGCGGCGCACCTCAGCAACATCAGATACAGGCTCCTGAGAGTCCTTCTTGCTAAAGAGACCCATGATTGCGGGGCAGAATGGAGAGAGAGGGAGAGAGAAAAGATAAAGTCAAAAATTGACAATCTGGGGTGGCGGTTCCCACACAATTAAGGAGGATCCCGAGATAGATGGGTCGAGAGTTGAAGACACAAGATCTGATGATGATGATTTCCTATTCAAGGGGGATTCGGCATCCGAATATATATACTGGGCATTTGCACTCTATGCCCACCGAGTGGTTGAGGTCGCGACATGGGGCTGGTGCCATCCAGACTTGCTAGTTCCCCCGCTAGTCCATCGGTAGTTCGACGCAGACCTTGGGGGATAGCAAGCTGGGTGTTGGGGTAAACCAGGCCCTAGTTTCTGTCCTAATGCATTGCCCCGTATAACTAACGCCCCCCAGTCTCCGCAAGTTTTCATCGGATGGAGGTTGTGGTAGGCTGGATGGCTGTTTAGGGCCCGCGCCATCCCTCCGAGAGTACTGCCGATTGATGTCGGATGATGTAGAGTACCAGCCAATCGTGGCAGGCGCTAGAAGAGCTTGTGTGGGCGGGCTCCACTTATTCTTGAGCCGCATCATTGATCAGACATTTCTTCTCCGTATGGGGCTCGATAGCCCTCTCCACGTTGCCAACCCCATGGAGAGAGGCCTAGCGTTTAAAAATTGGGACGCGCAGCTGTGGAGTCGGCTCCTCTATCTGAAGCCCTAGCCACGCTCTTTGCTAACATCAAGCAGGTCTCTCGTCTGCACCCTGCTGCTGATCGCGACTCTCTGCCTGACGCACTGGGATTTGCCCGCAGACGACATAGAAGAATGCTGCACGCAATAGCAATGGAAGCTTGAAAAGCCAATTAGCAAACGCGAAAAGCTACTAGAGCTTCTGTGCCGCGCCATGGCCCAGCTCGAGACTCCACGACATGGCTTGTCTAGCGCTGGCGTGCAGCCGGTACTCTAGCCTCTGGGCCCTTGGCGCATTCGGCCCTTAGACATCGGGCAATGTTGAGGGTCTTGCAACTGTCCAGGATGTTCTCCCAGGGCCTGGGGCTTAAATTCAGTAAGCCATTGCCGCGTAGCCGCGTATTTCGACGCCTCAGCAGCATCGCTGAGTTGGACTGAAGCGCGTATGGAAGTTTGTCCCAACATGCGCGAATTTAAACAAGATCTACTCCACCTCACACGATTCTGCGGAGCATCCATGGCATTAGGCGAGTATCTTGTCGAATCAGACGACTTGTGGCTTGCATTGTTGTTGATTCAAGGCATGCGGGTATACCATTTGCCATGCACCAAGGGAAGAACATCACCCAAGGCTTCATGCACGGTTGCGCTTGTCGTCACTCCGAAAGCCGGCCGCCATTGCTGCTTTCGTGAGAGTAGGCTTCGTTGCTGGAATCATGAACTGATTTCCTTCCGGTGTTCTGGCACCTCGCTTGAGGGTTCATCCTTCCTGCTCACTGCACCACACGGCAGCTAGGATTGGACATGGTTAAAGCGGTCGTCTTCGCCACGAGGCTCACGAGATCTGCATGCTAGAGACCCGAATGTGAGGGATGACAGCAGTTCGATGCCCTCTTCTAGCGGTCTTCCAATATTCTTCTGTGCATACCGTTTGCGTAGCCTCCCGCCCTCGGCCATATCACCCATCAATGACGTTGTTGCACTAAATCGCACGCCCCGACACAACCCATGTCAACGGGAGGTTTGTCGGAGCATGCAAAAGCCTGGGCGCTCGGAGGATCGTCATACTGCCCTCGTGCTCGAATGCGAACCAGCTCACTACACCTGATTAGATTACTACCGGCTGATAGAAAGTGGGGTAGTAGCGCCTCGGACGCCCGACGCCAATCAGATAATAATGTCGTTCGTGGGCGACACCAATCAACGCTATCCACTTCCAAGGTTCTGAGCGGCACGCCTGGATCTTGAGGGCGGCGCCAGCTTAGCTGGCTGCTGCTAAGCTCAATAGAACCTAAGGCTCGGGCGCTATTTGATCAGGGCATATCTCGCCGCAAGTAGCCGGTTGAGCGGGGTGCAACCTCTCCATCTGGGGAATTTTCGGCTTCCAAGAACGTACACCTGGGGCAAGTGAATGCGGAGAGCCCAAATGCATGCAGGTGAGCCCCAAGTGCATCCGAGTCATGCAACCGAATTGTTGGGCTCGAATGAGAATGCGAAGGCTATCGCGAAGATACGGCTTCTACCCTGCCTTGTATGGGAGTAGCGTATAGGGTGCAGAGGGTATGTCTTCAGAAACAGCGCAATGCTGGTCCTTTGACATTCAGCTCTTATCCTTAGTCACCCGTCCTTCATCTTCCGTGCCATACCAGGCTTCCTCGTTGCATTGTTCTTATCGTATTCTGCTTCTGTTTAGACACTCTAGACTTTCCAACAAGGTCGATTTTAACGCCACAATCATAGCGCAGGTGTATGCTATTTGGAGACTAGTAGTTGTGCTGACTACGAATGTTTCGAGAGGAGAGATATTTGTGTAGCAGAGCTGGGTTTTACCACCCAACTTCTAGCGTCAAGGCCCTCCGCGGATCGATTCGGGTTGAAGGCATTCTTCCCACATTTAATAGACCATAACCCAGGTGTTCTAAGAGGAAATCATGGAGAACAGAAATCGCCAATTGAAGAAAAGGTGATCTAGGACTGCTATGAGCCTCTGTCCGGTCTTACTTCGGCAGACGTCCCATCTCCGACACTCTTCAGCGTCCGACGTTCGACATGTATCAATACCAGGAGCTGCTATCAAGAGAAGGAATGGTAACGAATGATTAGTAACTTCCGATGAATTTCAAGGCAGGAACTTTGTACCAAGAGAAGGAGCACTAAAGCGTCGAGATGAGCTCTTGACAGACCTTTCGACATGCGCTTCCGTACATAACGAGTAGAATGGGCGCCTTGTACGGATACACGACTACAACACAACGTACTATGTTTGTGGCATTGGTTTGATACAGATATGCTAGGCTTTCTTGTACGATTTCTATCTCTGATACCTTGTCCAATCTTCTCGTCATGACCACCGTTGCATGCGAGGCTCTCAATACGTAAAGTGCATTAGCCTGATACCCTTCTTGTTTTCCTTCCCGACTTTGTCTATGCTTTCTTCGATCATCTAGCACCATCATTCATCAAGAGGGAAAGCCCGACCCAAGGCGACGTCGTAAGTCTTCGTGCGAGATTCCAAATCCATTGGGAGATGATCATAGCGTGTTGCGCCTTTCGAGAGCGATTTCGCCGCGTCTTTCCAAGTCTGCAAGATCTTGTAAGTCTAGCCCTGTAATGTCTTTGTATATATGGCTTACCGAACTCGGAGTCACTCCTTGTACGTCTTCCTCGTGTCACTCGACGTATCATACATCCAACGGGAATGCAAGTTACAAGAAGGGTGATGAACGCGATGATGACTTCGACGGTCCATGAAGAGGCCATGTTGGGTGCAAAGATGAAAGTCAGTCTGGTAGGCAAAGATGATAGTCTGGTCAGTTGTAGGAGGCAATTTAATTCTAACCACTGTCGGTGACAAGGCCAACTCGCAAGTCAGGGTTTGCGTGATTGGATAGACACCCCATTGTGCTGAGCTTCCGGTGATGCGCATCATTGAGGCTTGGACGCAGTTGGCACAACTCAGGTTTTGCTTGATTGGCTCTTAGCGGGACTATGCTGGAAGTTTAACTGAGTGGGAAGTGCCAAGTGTGTCAAGGCAAGATTGACATGATTGGCTGTACTCCCTACTGCAGATGCTTAAGTCAAAGAAATAAGTAGATTTACGCTAGTTCAACCTCAGGTTTTGCTTGATTGGCCAGAGGCTACGTAAGCAGTCGATACAGCAACAACACAGCCGCCACCTTGTGTTACTTGGCCCCTACCGTGTCCGTGCACCTCATGCACGGATTCATCTCGTGCACGCCGAACACCAAACGCGCGTCTCAGCGTCATAACTTCAACGCGCTATAACTCAACAACTATGGCTCCAATTGACGATGCAATTGCAGATTTAGAGTCGCAAGAACCTA